TAGTTAATGCTCTTGCTGCACTGATAGAGCTCGTTTTGAAAAGCAGATTGTTGAAACTGAGTAAATGCCAGATACGTCGTAAGTAAGTTCATCTTGTTTGGAATGCATCCTTTGGAGGAATAGTGTTTGAATGGGATACAAGGGGGGAATCGTTCAGTTGAATAAAATTGGGTGGCACATTGATGTGCAGGTCTGAGCTGTCCAGGTTCTCAAATAACTTAGGTTGCTTAGGGCTGCTTAGGGCTGCTGAGGTTTTGAATGCACCTCGTGATCACTAAGAATTCGGACCCGACCCGAGGATACTACCTCGTGTATCCTCGCAGCGGCTCCCAGGAACACACACAGATGCATCCCAGAGGCATCCGATGCATCTGGAAGCCACCTACACACCTAAGATTAAGACAACTGCCTCACTCCAAATTCCACGATCCCACACACCCAAATCAGTGGTTTGAAGCCTCCTCACGGCTGTATCACCACTATTCACTCACCTTTTGGAATACCCACTCCCCACTCTGTCTGTTGGTGACAAGTCCGTGAAACACCAACCTAGACCCTCTCATAACCCAGCATACTTCACACATAACCCCAAGTATTCACTATCAACCTAATACAGAATACAAACAACCAACACACAACCTTGTAACCCCATAACCCACCAGGTTAAAGCCGATTGATCGGCTTTTTGCTTCGTTCCTTCACACCTCTTACTCACAGTTTTCACTCATATAAAAGAAAAAGACAAAGACATCCATGATGGACATCGACACAACTTCACATAGCTTCCCACAACCACCTCCCCCTCGAGACAACATGATCTATCCTGATCGAAAATCCTTGAAAGCATACCTTGAGTCGTATGCCACAGCTCACGGCTTTACTATCTCCACGCTCGACACACGATTAACTTCAGTATACTACAAATGCAGCCTTGGTGATCACCGTCACTCAACAAAGGCCAAGACCAAAGCCAAAGAAGGCTCATCCTCAACAAACGTCGAGACCTCAACAAATGTCGAGTCCTCAACAAACTTCGAGTCCTCAACAAACATCGAGACCTCAACAAACCTCTTGACTTGCCCGTTCCGTGTCACAGCCCGACATTTACGAAAATCTCGACGAGTCTATCTCGAAATTGGTAACGCGACACATGATCATGCTACTCAACATAATGGACCACAGATCCCAACTACGCAACCAATTGCTATACCACCACCTCAGCCTCAACAGTCCAATCTCCAATATCAAAACCATCATTCTCAACCTTTCATCTCCAACCGATACCAAGAATTACTTGATGTGATGCAAAGCCTGTCGACCCCCACCCAAACCTGTCTCATCAGTCGACTTCTACGCGATTGCGAGTTGGCAAAGGAACTTGAAGGTGCTAGCTCAAACAGAATCCAAAATCACCTATCATCATCATCTCACAATGTTATTACCTCACAATTGATCACCAGATCCACACCCCCAAATCATCCTACTGGCTCAAATGTGACTTGCGATCAACTTGAAACCCCGACTCCTGTTCAAACCGAACAAGCAAAAAGTACTAGTCGTACTAGTCCTACTCAAACAAACCATTTAGCCATGAAAGAACAAACTGTTGAAGAGTTGGATCACGCCTTATTAGTGGCCATCAATAAGACAAATATGGTCACACTGACCGATGATGAAGATGGTGTTATACCATCTATTATTGAACAAGGTATGTTCGAGCCCACAGCGGTAGGGC